TGGCACCAATCTTCCCCTGTCACCTGCAAGGGGATAACTGGGTGGGCAGGTTTGCTGCTCCCGCTTGCATTTGCTTCACAACCCAACCAGCTGTTGAGCGTGGACCCTGAGACAAGGGTTTGGCCTCAGTTTCAGGTCTTCCAGAAGTTGACTAAATCTGTCACATAGAAGAGTAATAAAAGATTGGTGAATACAGACATGTGTTCTTCGTTTTCAACTGCCTTGTTTCTGTCCTACAAGAAATGAATTCCGTTAACTACTCTCGTTACCCTTTAGAGAGAAATACAGGGAAACATTTTCATGTAGTAAGATAACTAATGTAAGTACTGGAATTCTTGTGATAAAAGAAAGTTAGCTCTGGCAGAGCAGCAATTGCATTTACTTGTAAGCAAGCTCATGAAGCTTCTGACATGCCAGCTTGAAAATGGCACAGACTTTTACAGAGATTGCTTTGTAAAACGTGTCCAGTTTCCCGTCTGCTGGTGAAAATGCCTTTTGTCTCAAAGTTGGCAAAAATTTAACAGGACAGGGGGAGAGAAATCTGGGATAGGGAGGCAAAAGTGCTGAATGTGATTTTTTTTGTCTATGTGTTTGACTGGAGAAAGTATGGATCCTTTTGGATGGTGGAAACAAGCGTTTCCTTCACAAGTGTAGAAGCAGCCTGAATTCTACAACTGCTAGCAGCCTAGGAAGTTAAAAATGTGAATAAGTACTCTCAAAATGAAAGGAATGGCTGAGGAAGATGGTCACTTCTTAGAGGAGGTTATAGAATCAGGATGCAGGAATGGAGCTGAGTACTCGGCCTGGTTCAGAGGGCGGCTTTGCCACTGGTTTGTATGAAGCTGGACTGATGACCAACCAGAAGCTCCTGTATCCCATTCTTAGTACCCTGAGCCATGCAGCTGTACATGCAAGGCAAGTCCAGGAAGTGGTTTGTAGAGCTGGGAGCAGCTAAGGGGAGGAAATGGCTCCATCACAGCCAACTCCCAAGACTGCTTTCAGACCCCAGAGGGGAGATTTGGCATGACTCCATTCAGACAGAACCTTTAACTCCTACATAACATTACTCATCTCTGACCAGCGAGGATCAGGCTGAACAGAAAGACTGACAGCTTTTATTTCTCTGTCTCATCTGCAGTCTTTCACCTACAAATAGTTTACTGCAGCAGAAGGAAGATATTTAAAAAAATGTATCTTCGGGAAAGCAAAGGTCTCATGCCACCAGCTCTGTTTCAACACACAGGTCATACACATCTGTCACATTCCCATGAACACCAAAGGGAGGGAATGGCCATGCCCCGCATGTAATTCCCATGGAAGTAAGTGGCCTGCAGCTCCTCTTCCCCTACTGCACACATCTAAAAAGTAGGTTCTCGTTCTGCAGGTTGTTCACAGTTTGGCTGAAGCTCGCAGCATTCCAGGGGTCTATTCTTTCCTTGTGAACTTGCATTAAAATTCACAGCTGTTGTATATGCCCGAGCAATGACAAACGGCCTCGCCAAGAGAACGCTCTAGAAGAGGGTATCAGTAAACTAAAAAA